CCCTCGCATTCTTTCACTCTACTTTATTCCTACTTTACTTTGAAACACTATCCACTATCTCTTAGTTCTGCCACATAACCCACTCATCGGCCTACCTTTGGCCACACACGCACCCCGGCCTTTTTGGCCACGTACATACCCTATTTCCATTACTCCACCATCAGCTTCATTCAGCCACGCACACACACATCGGCTTATTCTTGGCCATACAGGTACTCACAACGGCAATGTACAGCCACTCACACACCCATTAAGTCCCCCATCATCATACCGATTGTACACTACCACACACACACACAAATTGACCGTGCCCGGCGACACACTTCGGTAGTAGCCTACCACTAACGCACTTATCGACCTTTCCCGGCCACGCACATCCCAACAGTAACTTACTGCCAAGCACGCACACACGTCAAGCCCCTCCCATCCGACTATACATTGCCACACATGCACACATGCAAACCGACCGTTCACAATCATGCACTCCGACAGCATACTGCCACTCGATCACACACCCGCCTTCCATTGGTCACACCCTGACCGACTTTTTTTTAACACCTACACACACACTGGCCTACTCCGAACTACACACGCACGCACGCCATACTACTCACATCATACACACCACCTACTCGGCAATGAACACATACTTAAGCCGACACCAAGTCCTACTCTACTATAACCAATACTAGTTCCGATTATCGGTGCATCATGAGTGAAACCACTCCTAAACTTCACCATACCTAGTCCTAACTACGTTTCGGCCGATCCTCTTCCCTCTACCTCTCATACACTCAACTCCCGAGCCATTTCTCACCTTTTTTCATCCTCTCGTTTGGAATTCCTCTATGTCAATAGGCCACACCAAAATGAAATCCCTACATCACCATATTAACATTTGAATATAGAAATTTATATTACCACCAGCTTCCATTTCTTCCTAGCTCAGAACAATCCTCTCCACCGATACGTTTCTTCGACTCACCGTCACCGATTTCACTTTTCCCTCTTCCCTCTTCTTCCTTCCTATCACCCGACTCCCTCTCATCTCCTATCTTTCTATTTTTTCCCTTTTTTTTCCACTTCCTTTTATATTTACTCAAATCCTACCCATCCATTCCTACCCTCTAATCCTCACCACTCATTTATTTGACTCTCTCTCTCTCCCCCCCTCCTCTCTCCCTCTCTCTCTCTCCGGCCTTTGACTCTACCAGGCTATTATACGGTCCTAATAAATTTAACCCAAAATTCTTAACATGGGCTTATTTCGAGAAGCCCAAACGAATAAACCTAATTCATTTTGTGAAGCTAAAATAAATTTTTTAAAATTTTTGAACATTAATTAGAGTAAACTAAGTGA